ACATGACATCTCAGCCATTGAGTATTATTTAGTCAATAATTATACTTTGCTTTCAAGAAAATATTGTTGAGATAATTCTTTGATTAAGAAGGTATGACATAATCGTAATAATTTAGTTGAGGAAAAGTTATTCGGTAGTAATCGAATTGGATGGGTTGTTGAAGAGTTCTTAACTGTTTATGTTAATAGGTATTGTAACTTATGATGTATCGCTAGTGTGGATGATACTAATAAATAATTATGTATAGATGGGAAAAAATATGAGTTTAATGTTGAATAAAGCATATAGCAAGTAAATTGGTCGAGTAAAATTTTCATTATTGCAAGCGGTAATTTTATCATAGTGGATACATGATTAATAAATAAGAAAATACGTATTCAGATTACAATACGAATTTAAAATAATGCTAGCGTTGAGATGTTAACATCTCTAATATAAGTCGAAGATTATCTCCCTTATATGCTTTATTCCGCATGGAGAAGGGCAATACCTTGTGTCTTGTGGACAGTGATAACAAAAAAAGACGAAGCGTGATGTGCGGAAAGCATGTCCGAAGGCGAAAAAATATGATGTATTGTGTGATTCACTTCAACACAATAGTTTCCAAAGTACAACACTGCTACTTTTACTTTGAAAATTGTTTTGTCAACGTCGATAACTACATTGATTGTTCTATTACAAATGCTTTTGGATATAAGTGTATTATTATTTAGGAAAACAATGCATTCACTGGCAAAGACAAACACTTGGCGGTAAATTAGTTTGACTTTAAATTCTGTTCGTAATATTTGAGATAACCATTTCACACTCGTTTTGGAAATCGAGCGCTTTTTTTTGAAATGAAAAAACAACCGTTTTCTATTGAGAGGGATGGGCATTGCAATAATGCGGTTGATTGGTTGTATTAACGGTTTCGCAAAGAACGACGATATATAAAAACTTATCTTTAGTATAGTCTAAGTCCTGTCTAAGTATGTTCCGAGTTGTTCGAGATATGTCTCTAAGTCTAATTTCTTTGATCATGTGATAAATTTTGTATCTTCATATCGTCTTTGTGGTTATCGTGGGAAAATATATAAAAGAGTGGCATCATTTAAGGGCCATAGGGAGCATCAAGATGTAATAAAATCACCATTACCGTCAATTTTACAAGTAACTGACTTTGTTTGGAGCATTTTATTACCGAAATGTGTTGTTCACGAGTTGGTATAATATAGACAATTGTAGTCGTTTGCTATTATGGTTGATGAGATGTCCAGCGAAAGTGTCCTAATTATATTATTTGCGCACCTATATCTTTGCGTACGACAGTTATGGTGTCTCCATCATACAGCTCTTTACGATCACAATATAACCGTGCATATTTTAATCGTAAGACTCTTTGCAATTCCATTTTGTGGGCATGTCTAAAGCGAAGCAGATCTTTCGCAATTCCATTAGTCAAATTTGTATAAAACTGCAAATGCGGAATCACATTCTGCTCCGCCTTAACCTTTAGCCATTTTGATTCAAACAGCAGGTTAACAACAATGGCTATTGTATGTTTAAATCGTATGTTGTAACAGTGAGAGTATATGCATAATGCAGAAGGCATTATTGCTGATTTAAACAGCAGGTAACAACGATGGCTGTCGTACGTTTAGATTGTATGATACATTTTTGAATGTTTAGTCATAACCAAATAAAGTACTGTTGTAACAGTGAGTTTATGTGCATAAGACATCAGCCGCATCGTTGATTTAAACAGTAGTTTAACCACAATGACTGTTGTACATAATGCAGAAGACGTTGGGTAACAGTCGTGCGACACAGAATTGCAAAAAATTTTAATTGGCAGAACCGACGCTAGTGACTGATATTCGGACGTCACAAGTCGCAGCTACACCAGATGCTATGTTGTTTTTTATCGAATTCCGCTTATTAGGAATAATTCGTCGCCATTCTTATGTTTTACGTACAGTGATTATTAGCAAACAGAAAACACACAGTCAAAACATGCTATAACAGACGCAGCGATCTAACATTTTTCTCCGTAAATCAAAAAATCGATAAATTAAGTTTCCAAAACATAAGATTTGGAAAGCAATCGTATGGATGGGCCATAAAAGTTCTCCGCACCGTAAGATAGAATTCAAGCTCACAAGGCTTTTTCATCGAAAGAAATTCGTACGTCTCACAACGTTTCAGAATGATTTCAAAGCGATTAAATATGGTGGCACATGCAAGGTATCGTTCCAACGCAACCGTTTTATAAAAAGTTTCTCTCGTCTTGTGAATAATAATAATAATAATAATAATAATAATATGTCACATAATATAATATTATATTAAGAACTTCGGTTGATCTTTGACCATACATGGAAAGATTAGAAGTTACTTTTGTAAACCAACCCATTTTGTTGTAAACGGATTGGCAGATTGTTTTGGCTATTCATGTTAATCAGCAATATTAATTGTTGTGTCATTCTTTTAGCAATAAAGTCTGGATAGTACTATATAATACTATTAGATAATTATGATGGAAGATGAGTTAATGCAGAATAAGCGCATAACAATTTAAAATTGTTCGACTGGATACATTAATTTGTGAGGAAAAATAAGGAGAAACTCATTGTCCTTCGAAAGTTGGAACAACCAGATTTATTACAGTTTTGAAGATTAAAGTAAACCTACGAGATAAATTACTACTGCACTGGAAAAAGAGAAAATTTCTACAATTTGCACAGTAATGTATAAAAGACAGACGGTTAGAAAAGTACTCTGGACATGGCGTAATTTAAGTCTCAAGTTCAACCATGACTTTATATCAACCAGATTTCTGTTGGACAAAAACGGCGAGATCGTCAGCGAGGGGGCGAGGGCTGAAACTAAACTTGTCATTATCAATATTGTCGAACGATGCTTTTGGTAAAAGAGTGGCTACAAAAATATCTTGTGGTGAAGGAATTGGCTCAATCTTGTTCTCGAATCTATGTTTGACTTCTTTATCTACGATAACTTTCCATTTAGAGCCTTATTGTAAATTAACAAATTAACATAATTAACTATTGTTTCACATAACCGTTCCAAAGCGAAAGCAGCCAATGCAACAAAAAAAAACTTACCGGTAGCTTCCTCAAACTTTTTAACTATCTCGCTTAGTGAAAACATCGAACCAGCAACCCTGATACTTGCGTTACGACATTCTTCCAATTTAAGAGATTCAACTGTGTATTTGGCGGCATCTGACATACTAGTAACAGCCAATTTGCTGTCGACATCTGCATAGAATTTTGCGGTCTTATTTTTGACATCAAACCCAGTCCAGTCAAGATATTCTACAAAGGTTCCACTTTGAATAAAGGTATACTCAAGTCCACTTTCTTGAACTTTCTGACGGAACGTGATTTTGCTATCGGTCAGCGGATGATCACCAAAACTTTTCAGACGAGACGGTAAAAAATTGTATTTGTTATTACCATTTGTTTACAAAAAGCATAGTCGATGAGATAGAAGAAGAGTAGATCAAATGAATAAAACTTACTCAGTGTGTGTACCAAACTCAGATGGAATAAACCTTCTCACACCGGCAGCCTTAGCAGCGTTCAACAATGGCGTTTGAAGAGCGTCAAAATCATAACCGCCCGTGGCTAGTCCGGGAGATGCAGCGCTGATTAAAACGTCGGTTCCCTTAAGCGCTTTGACCAGATCATCATGCTGGTTATAATTGGCGTAGATAATTTCTGCACCCTTGGAAGCCAATAGTTCGGCTTTCTCATTCGCGGTTTTCGGTAGTCTTCGAAGAACTTTCACCGTAAAAGATCCATCATTCAACAAGGCTTCGACTATATGGACACCCAGACTTCCGGTGCCTCCCGCGACAGTTACGTTGGTGAGTGATGAGCTGCTCATGATGAATCAAGTATATGTATATTCGTTGCGTGTATGTTATATATATATACTAATTTTCCTATTTCCAAGTCCGATATGCTCATTTTATACTTTTTTTTTTCCTCTATAAGAAACATTCTCACGCCGAAAGATCCAACCTCTAATTGTTTGCTTGCGTATCTGCTCGTGCGACGTAGATTTACGGATTTTGGTGACAAAATGCTTTCAATGGATTTATATCTTATGGCTATTGCCATTGCTTGTAGCCTATGGCTTATTGCTTATGACTTATTGCTTATTCCTTATGGCTTATTGCTTATCGCTTATGCACAAGCAGACAAAAGGCTTTTGTTTACGTACCTGCAGCAAACTTGTAGAACAATTCTGTCTTATGAACAATAATAATATGGTATCGCTGTGATAATTCAAATAACAAACCTCGCTTACTATTACGTCCATCAAATTTGTTGTCCAAAACATATTGGTCTTCTTATACACACCTTGTCGCTTTCCCGATGCTGCCTTACTCATGTCTGAAAACATCGATGAAATTTCACAATTTGATCACAGAACAATAATCATGTCGTGCTAGTAATCGTGAATGGCGTTAAACAAGTAAACCAATAATATTGATTCCCCACTGGATTGTGATCGTAAAGTGATTTGTTTGTACTTATGGTGCGTACAATATCGTATGATACAGAGTTGGGTTCCTTCAACAACATTTCCGTAACACACTTTGTACAAATTATCATTGACTTATTTAGTGACTCAAAAGCATTTTCTCATTGATGCAGCACAGCCCAATTGATATACAAAAAAACCCTATTCTTCCCGCATAAACGATAATCCATACACTTCACATGTGCAATGAAACACATACGGAACTCACTAACTTATTCGGTAACCACTGACCATATTTGAAAAAAAGCTCTTTTGCGCCATCAGAAACGATACGCTTATGAATATAAACAATTGTCACCAACTTGATAAGCTACTTGGATCGTCATTTTGTTATCCACACACGGTGATATACGATTCGCCAACTGAGAGCATTTACCATATATAGCTACATGGACATGTAAATACAAGTTATATCAATGTCGTATCACAGTATACAGTCGTACCTCGTTTATATCCGCACTTCACTTTGGGGCGAGGAGTTTTGGGGGATTGAGGTATTTATTTGAATTTTATTGGTTAATAAAATTCGGTTAATGAAGTTTGATGTTTAGCCTTTTCTGCA